CTCTAAGGTTCTTCCAAATACAATCAGGTCATCCAAATAAACCAAGACTTGCAGTAAGTTCATGTCTCCCACAACTTTCTCCATAAAATGTTGAAATGTGGCGCATGCCCCAGAAATCCCTTGGGGCCTGCATTCAAACTGATAAAACCCTAATGGACAGGTGAAGGCCATCTTCTCCTTATCTTCTGCTCCCAGAGGGATCTGGTAGTGTCCACTTCGAAGATCCAATAATGAGCACCACTGGCTCCCCAACAAACAGTCTAAGGCATCTTGTACTTGAGGCATGGTGTACTGATCAACCACAGTACAGCTGCTTAGGGTGCGGTAGTCGATACACATCCGGCTTTTCCCATTCTTTTTACGGACCACCACAATGGGTGAGGCGTATGGGCTGTGGGACTCTGTAATGATGCCATTTGCAATCAGCTCCTGAAGATGATGTTGCACATCTTCCATCTCGGAGAGCGCAATCCTCCTAGATCGCTCCCTGAAGGGTTGAGAGTCATGCAGTCTGATGTTGTGCTCTACCCATTCTGCACATCCCACGTCCCACTCATGCAGTGAGAACACCTTGGATCTTCCATAAAGTTTCTTCCTCAGGCGATCCTTCCACTCCTCGGACAATGATGACTCTCCAGAGTCAAACTTTGCTGGATCTATCACCAGAACTTGAGTTTCACACTGGGGTCTTACAATGGATTCAGGCTCAAAGAGGTCTGCTATCTTTTGTCTTTGCTTCACAACATCACGGCTTGTTTCATTAGCAATCAGTATAATCACTTTTTCCTGGGCTCCAGCAGGTAGGGTTATGAATCCACTGGGGACCAGCACACCTTCAGGGAGCTCTCCTTCAGCCAGCTGCTCTACCCTTGCTAATGCCGCTCATCTGCCTTTCAGCCAGGTGCTCATGACAAGCACTTTTCACTCCGTCCTTGCAGGCACTACTAAAGGGGTCGTGCTCGTGTACCTCAATGCCCCCATTGGTAGCTCAGATGTCTCCTTTTTAGTGCTCTCAATTTTCCTATAGGCTTCAGCACAATGTGTATGGATCATCAGGATATTCAGGTACTGGTCCCCAGCCCGTCATCTGCAGTAAACCACGAGTACCTTGAAGAGACTGGAGTTGGTCCCTGTCAGCACAGACACATCAGAAATTCCTATAGGGTTGTGGCATATTAAGGCAGCAGTGTCTACCTCTTCTCTTACCCCTACACTAAGGAGGGATTTTCTTCATTACGACACTTGGCAGCACTGTGTCCATCCTGACCACACCGGTAGCAGAAGAATTGTCCTTTCCCCCTTCGCCCGGGTGGGATGGTGGCTCTAAATGCTGACTTCTCCATAGCCATAGAGGCTCCTTAATCCTGGAAGTCTTAGCTCGGCCAATGGTGCTTTGCAGCCCAGCTATCTGTTCTGTCAGGACCTGCATTTGTTGGGCAAGTTCCTCTCTGGTGCTCACCATCAGTACACTGGCTATTCATAAGGGTGCTGTGCTGGCTGGCTCCAATGTTTGAGCTTCCCAAAACTCACTGGCAGCCTGCCGTTCTTCCTCCTCTCTGACCTCTTTTATCAGCTGGGAGTAACTCGGGGGACGTTCCTGTCGTTCTCGTAACCAGAGATGAAATAGAATCGGGATCTGATATTGAATTCCTCTTACAATTTGAGCTAGTCTGGTCTGATCCATCTGCTCAGCAGTCACAGCTCCCCTTTTGACAGCTCTCTGAAGCAGCCGCTCCAGCCTCTGTATATAGGCTGAAACCGTCTCACCCCTTCGCTGTCAGGAATTAAGGAACTTACAATAACTGTTTTCAGAGCCCTCTATGCTCCCAAAGTTGTGATCGAGGTCCTCTAGGCAGACATTCATACCAACCCCAGCGTTAGTGAGCTTCAGGGTGTGAATCATGTCTAATGCTGGGCCCCTGAGGCTCTCTACTAGACATCTTCGCTTTTCTGCGTCTAGTACAGCCCACGCCTGCAGCATTTCAGTGGTATGTTCCAACCAGGGTTCAAACTCCTCTTCCCCAGGTATTGGGATGGGACACCCAGCAAATAACCTTAACTTACAATAGGAGCTTAATGTAGCCTGGGACAGCACAACCTTTTCCAATGTTCACCCCAGTGCTTTTGCCCAATCATCAGCAGAGGCTGCAGCCTGACCACTCAGGGAAAGCGCAAAGCAATTACCTGATGGAGCAACAGTGACACTGGGTGGCCAGTCGTGGGAATGCACCAATCATTTCCCCCACACCACAGCAGTCACACCCAATGGAATGTCAGGGGAATGCACAAAGCATTTCCCTCATCTCACAACAGTGACACCAGGTGGCCACTCGGGGTAATGCACAAATCAATTTCCCCAAAGTGCAACACTGATGCCCAGTGGAACGTCAGGGGAACGCAAAAAGCATTTTTCTCATGGAGCAATAGTGACACCATGTGACCAGTCAGAGTAATATACAAGTATCAGAGGGGTAGCCGTGTTAGTCTGAATCTGTAAAAAGCAACAGAGGGTCCTGTGTCACCTTTGAGACTAACAGAAGTACTGGGAGCATAAGCTTTCGTGAGTAAGAACCTCACTTCTTCAGATGCAAGTCTTGCATCTGAAGAAGTGAGGTTCTTACTCACGAAAGCTTATGCT